GGAATAGGCCACAGGATATTAAGTACTGAGGACTTTATTTAGGTGAAAGGTGGTTATAAGGGGCCCTAGTCAGTGGTAGAAAATACACCCCAAAAAGCAATTAGAAAAAATAAAACAGTTAAGAATAACCTTTGGGCACCTACCTAGCAAAGCGCAGTGCACACGGCAGGTACTCAATAAATGTTTATTGCTATCTACATAGCATCTGCGGTAATGCCCATGTGTACCCCAGTAGAAACTGTTGTAAGCTATATTTTCCATCCTGTAACCAGCCCTTCACCCTCTTGCTTTTAAATCCATCCCCATATAGGCACGCGGTAGGCCCTTGCTGAGGGGGCTGCTATTTCCCGGTGACTCTGAATTGGGGCACAGGACAGATGCGGGAAGAACGTCAGGGCTAAATTTAGGATGTCAGCATTGCACGGGATGCCAGAGCCTGTCCTGAGCCTCTTATTACAGTCTGAATGACTTGTATCTTCCCTTGACGTTTTCTATTTCAAAACTGCAGAAAAGTTGAAAGAATAATACAGCGAACACACATGTACTCTACAGACAGGTCGCGATTATTGTTTTGCCACATTTGCTCCACTTTCTCTTTCTCGCGTATATGTTTTTCTCTCTTATATTTACAGTAAATATACTGTAAATATACATAGTTTTAGAATATATAAATAACCTGTGAAAAATATATTTTTCAAATGTATACTTTTTTCTTAGCCATTTGAGAGTAAGTTGCAGTCGTGACACTTCAGCCCTGAATACCTCAGCATGTATCTCCCAAGAACAGGGCCATTCTCTCTTAATCAAAATAAAATTGTCACACTCAGGAAATTTAATGATACTGTTTTCTACAGAGAGTCCCTATTTATCCTAGTAATGCCTTTTATACTTTCAACCCAATTTCTTATCAGTGCGTTGCATTTAGTTGTCATGTGTCTTTGCGAACCTTAAGTAGCTCTTCTCTCTCTCTCTTCCATCCAGCTCCTGGGTAGATCGATTGACTTGAACAGACTCATTACCCAGCGCATCTCTGCTGCCATGTATAAATCCTTGGACCAGGCCATCAGCCGCTTTGAGAGTGAGGACCTGACCTCCATTGTGGTAAGAGACTAGGGCCCTTGGGTGTTCCTCCCTGGGACTCCTCTGATAGAAGCCTAGCTGGGGGTTGTTATGAGCCTAGTACTGGGCCAGTTAAAGAGAAGTGCAGTCTCTTTCCTGTCTGAATAGAGTAGGCAAAAAAGGATCTTGAAATCTTTAGAGATGGCCCGCCTTGGGGTATAGCTCCTTGTCCTTTAGGATTGTACAGATCCTAGTAAGTAGGTGGGTGGTCCAATGAAGCTAGGGAAGGTTGCACAATAGCGTCACCCTATGAGTATGCAGTAGTACGGGGCCAGGAAGGGCTTTGTGCTCAGTTTAATGCTCTGCAGTCACCATCTTGAAATTCTTCATAATTTTTTAACAAGGGGCCCCCACATTTTCATTTTGTACTGAGACCCGCAAATTATAGAATTGGCCCAAATGCACAAGCATGGAACAGGCCTGCTTCCTATCGAACAGCAATTTGAACTTCTCTCTGATAATTCTCTCTCCAAGAATTAGAATAAACTTGATTGATCAGACTTTAAGTAAATCAAAGGATATTTGCATAGTCTCAAATGATCTTCTTCAAGATATTTATTAACTACAAAGAGGGAAATAGTAACTTTACCCAGGGGAAACCTGGCAGATGCCATCTTAACCAAGAATCAAAGGTTAATATTAGCAGTAATAAGATATATTAATGTATCCCCTGACATGTATTCTTCTGTGGTATTCTTGCCAAAATGCATAATCTTAAATGACATTTTTTTTTTTAAAGTGAACAATACTTTCCAAAAGCATCCCGATCATATAGATAAAGAAAGACTAAAAACTGTTAGCAATTGGAAAAGACTAGAAGACACTAAATGCAATGTGGGATCCTGGACTGAAAGCTAGAACAGAAAAAAAGGCCTTTGTGGAAAAACGGGTAACATTCAAATTAGGTCTGCCATTTGGTTCATAGTATTGAACCAATGTTAACTTACTACTTTTGATCATTATGCTGTGGTTATGTGGGATGTTAACATTGGTTAACCTGGGTCAAGGATATTCAGGAACTCTGCTGCTTTTCCTTATATGTAAGTCTAAAATTCTTTCTAATGAAAAGGTTTTGTATTTTTTTTTTTTAAGTAGACAAAATAAAAAAAAAAAGTGCTTAAGAACTAGGGCTCTAGCGTCAGAAGGACCTGCAGCCCCAGCCTGGCCCTGCCACTTACAGCTAGGTGACCTTGGCCAAGTTATTCATCTTCTCTAAGCCTGTTTCTCCATCCACACAATGGAAGAAATGTTGGAATTCACCTCATAGCGTCGTCATAAGGATAAGATGAGATACCGCCGGGAAAGAGCTTCGCCTCGTTTCTTGCACTTAATAAATAATAGCTTATAGAGAAAAAAATGAGAGGAACATAGAAGTTTGGGGCTGCAGTGAAACATTCTCAGAGTGAATTTTCAGCAATACTTAGTGAGAGGACATGACCCATCTGCCTACCTAAGACCTGGGTCACGTACTCTAAGAGACTGTAATATAGTACACGTTCTTCTGGGAGATCTATTTTAAGAAATAGATTTTTCTTTGTTTATGCCAAAATGTTAGCAGCGATTATCTCCAAGTGGTGGGATTTTTGTTTCCATTTTTTGTTTAGCTGTATTTTCTAGTTTTCCAGTAATATGAATGAGCATATCTTAGGGAAAAAACGGGTTCGAGGTGCGTGTGAGTGTCCGTGACCTCTCCTCGCCCCTTAAAGGCACTCAGTGTTCTTTCAGTGAAGAACAAAATCAAAACAGCAGTGCAAGCCCTTGTTTATCAGGTGAGGACAATGGCCCCCAGGAGAGTGGCCACTTCTGCGAAGCCCTTGCAGAGGAGACCCCAGGGGCGCTTTTTGCTGTGGGGTCAGGAGGCCCCGCCTCACCTCTGCTGAGAAGCTTCTGCCTCTTCTGAAAAAACGAACCAAGGAATGTGCTCCCCTCAGCCCTTCCCTCCACCGTGGAAACTCCATTCTGAGATGGGGAGGCAGCTTGATGCCAAGTTGGGAAGGGTTGCAGAGATTTCTTGTCAGTCACCCTCCTCCTACACAGCTGAGCGAATAGATTCTCCAGATCTGGTGCTGAAGTTTAGAGCAGGCAGCCCGCAGATTGTGTTTTGTTTAGGCTGCAGAGCATATTCGAAATTTCCAGCCAACATTTAACATTTGGAAGAATTTGCGTAAAACTGCAGAAGCTCTGGCAGCACCAGACCAACCTTCCCAGATGGCAGCAATTGCCTAACGATGACTAGACGTCCCGCGGTCAGCCGGGCTGGGTGTGCTCTCTTTGGTTCGCCACAAGCCCCACTGGCACACTTCAGTCACGTGAGAGCCCTGATCTTCTCACCGACCTAGCACCACAGAGCTGGTTAACAGTCACATGTGGCTGACACTCAGGTTTTCTGGTTGCCATTGAAGAGTTCTTCCCGCTGCTTCTCAGAAGTTGTCCATATAAGTATCTTAATTTCCTCAGCGAGTCGACTTTACTGTAGAATGCTGAGAAGGCACCTGAACCACTCACATGGCCTTTCAAACCCTCTGCACCTCGATGCGCTGAGTCCTGCATCTCGCAGGCAAGGGCCCTCCTGATGCGGGAGGTGGGAGGAACGCAGCTGATGCAAAAGCACAGTTCGGACACGTAACAAACAGCCCTGTGCCGTCATGTGGCAGGAGCCGCACTGCCCGCAGTCGGCAGAGTTAACGAACGCTCTCCCTCCGTCTTCCCTGTCGACACTGACACACAGAACATTAGAACAGAAATTGTTCCCTGATTTCTCATCTGTGGTTATCTTCCAGGTAACACAGTCCCTCAGCGATCTTAGAAATAAACTCGTTAGCATTTATTTCTTTTATTATTATTTTTTTTATTTGTTTGTTTGTTTATTTTTTACTCATCCTAAGCGAATGGGAGCAAAGATAACAAACGGTCCAGCTAGCTAGGCCTCAAGAGACAAGCAGAGAGCTGATTCCATATATCTGCCCTTCTCTACTGCATGGCATACAATGATTGGAATGTTATTCTTCCAGCTGCCATTCCAGAATTGGAATCCAGACTTTGACCTTCTTTTTAAAAATGGCAGGATCTGCCATCACTAAGCCCCATCCTGAAGTGGCAACCATCGGATGGAGTTACTAGCAGCCCTGCCGTTCTCTGCTCAGAGCCTCTCCCGTGTGCCACCGACAACCCGGCCCCCTGACTGCCTCCCGCCCCAGCGTGTCTCACTCACCTGGCCTGTCTGGCCTCTACAGCCAATTTAAATTTGCAAGCTTGAATCCAGTTCTAAAATCCCAATTTAGAGCCTTAGAATCTGAGTTTCGGAGCAGTAAAGCAGCAAAGATTGGAAGTGTGGCCTGGGGCCTGTACCTGACCACGCTTGGGACCCCAACCAGGATTAGGGGGCCTTGTGACTGATGAGAATAAAACTGAATTCCTGATATGAGGCTGTGACTGTAGACAACTGAGCTCCAGGTTCCAGCCGTTAAAGCAGTCTCTCTAGCTGTCCCACCTCCTGGCCATGTTCTGGTGAACTGACCTTTCGATGTGTTTTTTTGTTTTTTGGTGTTTTTTTGCTTTTATGCTGTAAAACCAGCTTTATTTTTCAAAAGGCCTTCTCAGCAATTGCTTCCTTACTCCAGACAGCTGTGTCACAGGGGCCAGACACACATGATGTTGATCAGAAGACCTGGATTCACTACCTAAGCCCTGTTACGTGTCCCCTGTGTGACCTTGGACAAGTTATCTAACCCACCAAGCCTCAGTTTTCCCCTCTATGAAACGGTCGGTTGTGCCCATCTCAAAAGACAGCTTAACCACCACAGCATAGGAATGTCCTAAAGCATCTCGAAGAGGGCTGCCTTCTCTCCCTGCACAAGACTGTGCTCTGTTTCTTTTTGACAGCAGTGTGATAAGGGACTAAAGTGAGCCCAGAGTGTTTGACCCCCACTTTTAATCCCCAGCAAAAGGCAGTGTTCTGGGCATCTGGATAGTCTCCACCCTGCTCCTATTCTCTGCCTGAAGGTGGGATTCCAACAGTCAGGGTCCACAGCTCACCCGGGTCCCTGGTTGTTGTGGGTGGATGACAGACTGCTTGCCAGTGGCTTACAGCCACACCTCTACCAGTATGACCTTGTGTGACTGAGGGGCCTACAGTCCAGAGGAGGGATGTTCTACCTCCAGCTTTTTAAAAAATTGCTATAGGTGTTATACAGTGGATAAGAATGTGGATTTTGGAGCCCAACTTCCTGGATTGAAGCCAAGTTACTTCTCAAAGCCTCAGTTTCTGTATGTGTAAAGTCAAGACAGCAGTCATACTAACTTTATAGGGTTTTTTGAGCTAAATGAGTTAACGCAACGTATTTGGCACATATTAGGTTGAACCGTGTGAAGTTACTAATGTTCAATTGTTTTTAACCTAAAAAATTAGTAGTTTCATGAGTTCTGACCTAATAGTAAGCACCTAGTGGGCGGTAGCTCTTATGATTACTTTCTGCAGGGCAGAAATAGAGGCTCTGTGATAGCCGGTCCCCACTTCCTTTTACTTGACATGTGACACTGAAGGACGACAATCTTTTTCTCACAATATGGAAATGGGAAAACAAATAGGCATGCGTTCTACTCAGAGGGGTGCAGGTGTAGTCAGTGGTCCCCGTGCTGGGGCAGGCATGCAACCAACCTCTCTCAGCCATTCCTTCCACTCCTCAGAGGAAGGGAACGTTGTCACATGCCCCCGTGGGGCTTCCGGTCCCCATGTCGGCAGTTGTGAGGTTGCCCGTGGGGCTCACGCCTACTGTGAGGTGAGTGCCAGTCCTCAGCAGCCGCTTGTTCTCTCTGGCCAGGAGCTGGAGTGGCTGCTGGAGATCAACCGGCTCACGCACCGGCTGCTGTGTAAGCACATGACCCTGGACAGCTTCGACGCCATGTTCCGGGAGGCCAACCACAACGTGTCCGCCCCCTACGGCCGCATCACCCTGCACGTCTTCTGGGAGCTGAACTTCGACTTCCTCCCCAACTACTGCTACAATGGGTCCACCAACCGGTAAGGGAAGCCCTGTGCAGAGAGGCTGGGGCGGGGTGGGCCGGGGAAACAGCCATCTGCCTTCTCCAAATGAGGACAGGCATAGGTGTCAGTTCGATCTTGCAACAGGCATCTCACAGAGCCCCTCCTGGGTGCGGCTCTGTGCTGGAGCCGAGGATGCCACGGTGAGCAAGCAGATGGCTTCCTGCCTCTTGGAGCCTTCAGGCCAGAGGAGAATGCAGGTGATAAAACAATCACACGAAAATGTACTGTTAAAAGCCATGAACTTAGAAATAGAAGAAAGCCTGCAGAGCCCTGAGAGAGAATGACAGGAGGGAAGCAATACAAACCCCAAGAGAGGCTTCCTCCTCTGAGGAAACGTGGTCGCGTTGAGACGTGAAGGATGAGTAGGAATAGATAATACAAAAAGAATATTCTAGGCAAAGTTGTAAGGAGCTGAGTCTGGTGAGGGTGGAGCAGATGGGGTGGTGAATGGCACCGTGAAAGATCCTGTAGGATGCAGGAGGAAGCAGAACTAGACCATGTGCGACTTCACAGCCCACGTTCGGATCAGGCATTTATGAACCTTGCAAGAGTTTAAGGAAGGGGAGTGACATTATCCGATGGTACTTTTAAGAGGACATCCACATATGGGAGTGCACGCATGCAAACACAAACACAAATGGACGTGCAGAGCACACACATGCATGACAAACTAGAACATGTCTCCTGCAGGCTGCGCACAGCCCTGGGCCAGAAATGAAGGTAGAATCAAGACCTAATCCCTTATCTCCACAGTGATTCAAAAGCTGATGGAAGAGGTGAGACATACATGCAAAACAAGTGCCTAGGAGTGAGCAAAATGTATGTCTTTACAGGTCTTCTCAGTATCCCCAGGGCTGGTATTAAATACGTTTGTATTGAATGTGTGGAAAGGTCTGGGAGGAATCCTCAAATGTGCCTGAATCCACGCACTTACCAAGAAGCGCTTCCTATTCTCGAAAGATTTGGGACTTTCAACCCTCTTGAGCAGAAGTCTGTAAACCCTGGTCCACAAGCCATCTCTCATTCCCCACTATTTTTGTACAGCCCATGAACTAAGAATAGTCTTGACATTTTTTAATGGTTGGGGAAAAAAAAAAATCCAAAGAAAAATTCTACTTTGTCGACATGTGGAAATTATTTGAAATTCATAAAGTTTTAATGGAACGCAGCCATGCTCATGTGTTTACTATTGTTTATGGGTGCTTTCATGCTACCAGCAGAGCTGAGCGATTGTGACTGAGACCATCTGGCTGGCAAAACCGAGAATATTTGCTATCTGGGCCTTTACAGAAAGAGTTTGCAGAAATCTGCTCTTGAGAAGCAAACCTGGGGGTGGAGAGGTGGAGCCCTGGCAAAGGCCATTCGCAGGCCCGGCTCCTCTCACTTTCTGGCCTACTGTCCTGAGCAGCTGCCAACACTGAGCCAAGGCTGTGAATCTGGAAGAGAGACAGTAGCCGAATGGGAGTATGTCAGAGGAGTTTGGCGCCTTTATAGGCAACCGCCTAAGGAACAGTGTGGTCGCCCCTGGTCAGGAAGGGCCCCCACTATGTCGTGTCTCCTGAAGAATAACATTAGGACCCAGTTAACTCCTGCCCCATCTCTTTTCTTCTGCTAGTTTTGTCCGGACTGCCATTCCTTTCACTCAAGAACCGCAAAGAGATAAACCTGCCAACGTCCAGCCTTATTACCTCTATGGGTCCAAGGTGAGTAGTCTTAACCTGTGTCCTACTTCTGAGACAGCTAGTGAGCAAAAGCAAACAGAAAAGTGATCCCCAAATCAGAAAAGCAAGAAGGTGTGGAGATGACGAGGCGGCAGTCAGATGCAGGTGGAAGCGACAGCGAGTGTATTCATCTTTATTTTGTTCACGACTAGCAAGGATGGGGGCGAGGTCAGGCCAGGGGCTGGATCCTGCATGGGATCCCGCACGGGAAGTGTTTGGGGAGGTGAGTGGGGACATGGGTGCACGGGGCTTCTCATCGTGGCATTCCGTCTCCTCCCGTGTCTCAGAGGATTCATTGAGGTATCTTCCTGTCATCCTGGGATTTGCGCTTCATAAACATTAGGGCTCTGCAGACAAGAAGCAGTTGGGAAGGTGACGTTTTGAAGGAAATCCAGTTGACTGGCGCTAGAGCTGGAGACAGGTCTTCTCCTGTCTCTGTGTTGCTCTGTTCACATGCACCCATCCTGACATGAACTAAACATCTCAAATGGTACCCTGTTCTAGATCTTCAGTCCTCTGCCAGTCACTAAACAGACATTTATGAAGCACCCGGTATAGGCCAGACACTGGACTAGATTTTTCATGGGGGGAATATATTAGAGATTAAAATAGACATCATCTCTGCCCCTTCCTCAAGTTCTGTCTCCACACCGGTGGAGGCGACGAGGAAACAACGTTTGTAAAATCTCATCAATGCCGTGACATTCATTTTGTACTTTGGAGGTTTTTACGAGAGGACTAAAAAATGCCACTGAAAGGGTGACACGCCAGTATTGTTCTTTGTGATAGAATAAAAATGTCTACCTTTGACCCTATTTTCAAAGGTCATCACAGATGGACTTAGAAGAGAAACTGACCGGGTAGACATAATCTTGTTAGGAAATGTACTCTTGTAAGTCGGGGAGCCCTGGGTTGGGAAGTGTGATGAGCCAAGATGCATCTCCACCAACCGAGCCTCCAGGAGGGGCTTCCAAGGTCTTAGGTGATTCCGGGAGAGTGCAGGTATCTTTTTCAGGACAACCAGTCTGGTCAAGGCAACTTTCTCAAATCAGAGGATGCTTACAGAGAGCATCTTAGATAGTTTACAGACAGGGCATCAAATACTAGTGACTCACAAAATGAAAACATCTCCCTTTTCAATTCTCTTTCAAACCTCGTGGATTTTATCAAGGAGAAAGATGTATGTTGGTGCTACTGTGCCTTTAATACCTCTCCAACTCCTGCAGCTCTCTCTTTTTATCAAAGATGAGAAAACAGGCCTTAAGCTCAGAGCCTTTAGTAGGCAATAATACCTACGTCAAATTTAATAGTATTTTGTTTTCGCTCTATTTCTTCTTATGTCTCTTCCCTTCTATTTATGGCAGGAAGGTGCTAGTTTTTCATTTTTGGAGTAATATAAGGCTATCTTTTAAAATAAGTTTAAGTTTAAAAATGAGTCGATTTAAAGAAAATATATTGTTAATAATAGTAAAGATAATCTATGATTTAAAAACAATGGGGATGGGGTATGAAGTGATACGTCATTGCCTGAAAGTTGGAAAACACTCTAGAGAAGCCTCTCACACCTTTCCAAAATAACCTGCCCAATAGCAGAGGAGATTTGACATCTACCTGCCTCCGCTGACCGAAAGCATAACCCAAAGAGCCCATCTTCAACTCAAAAAGTTCCTTAAGTATTGTGTTTTAAGTCATGCAGATTTCACTTTCTACATTATAATATATTCGTGTTTGTTTTAATATTAAGATAACGTTTTTAATTCCTAACTGCCTCCCCGCCTTGATGGACACTCCTAAGAGATGCCATGACCCTCCCTTGGCACATCACAGGAGTATATGTCTTCCAGCATGAGAGGCTTTGTCACAGGGCATTCATCAAACCTAGGTGATCTACGAAGACACTGACATTTGAAGGGAGACAAGTGGATAGTCTACAGACACATTTTTACCAAAGACCTACTGTGTGGAGGGCTTTAAGCTACACAACATGGGCTGCTTCCTCCCCACCTCTCATTCCCCAAAATGAGGCAGAATGGCAGGTCGATCGCCACCCTCCCTGTGGAAGGCACCCATGGGTGCATCATGGTTGCCTTCTGCTTCAGCTTCCTGTTCTACTCCAGCTCTAGAATCCTTGCGTGGCATTTCCACCAGGGGGAGCCCCTGCAGGTCTTCCTCCCTCTGACCAAGAGCCGGGGCCTCCTCTGGCCATCTCACCAACCCATTGGCTTCCTCCATGTGGCCAGCTCTGTAAGACCAACGAGGCTCATGGCAGCGGATGCACCAGAACTGGAGGCAGATGAAAGCTAAGACGGCTGTGAAGCAGGCCAGCAGAATAGCCATCAGCACCCACAGGGAGATCTGGGGGTCTACCAGGGAGCTTCCAGCAGCCAGCGGACTCTTATCCAGAGTGTGGAACATGGTGCAGTAATGCCTGTAGGGACAGGCAACCTTCTTGCAGCTGATGCACAGGAAGTAGAGAGTGGAAGGGGCAAGGTGCTCCAGCACCACCGAGCTGATTGTTCGAGGCACCTTCTCCTCGTGGTGGAAGCTGTAGCGAAGATAGCCAGAGAAGATGCTGTTCCAGTTGGGCCTGTACATAATATGGTAATAGTCCTCCAGGCAGGGCTCCGAGGACGACCAGGAAATGATGGCTCCCGTGTAAGAAACGTTCCCAACCTCGATGTTCATCCTGATTCTGGAACCAGAATCAAAGCGAAGAGTGACTTCTCCTTGTTTAAGTATTTATTAATGATCATCATAGCCATCACTTACTGAGCATTCGAGATGGAGACTACTATCACCCCCATTTTACAGACAAAGAAATGGAGGCCAAGAGGTGACGTCATTCAGCTGGACATGTATAGCTAAACAATGGCAGAACGGAAGTCCAAATCAGGGCTGCCTCATGCCAAAGCTGGTGGCCTTCAGGCCTAAAAAAGATGCACCCACATTCCTCAGCCTCATCCCACCCTGGCTCAGATCTTTTAAATGTAACGTTGTTCCCAACCTTTAAAGAAGAAGAAAAAAGGGCAATAAAAGGAGAAATCAGGACAACCTCAGCGTCCCTAAGTTAGTCACCATAGATCTGTGAGCACCGAGTGAAGCAAGTGTTTTACCTAAATTTCCCTTCTGGACCTTCTGCATCTGCTGCAAGTGCTGTGAGCTCAGCCATCTAGAACATTCTGCCCACTGCTTTTTCAGCCTCTCAGTTCTTTCGCCCAAGGCGAGAGGGACTTGCTTCATCACTCACTGGCAGCTGATTTCCCCGCAAAGCCTCTGCTCTTGTTTTGTTTATTTGTGTTCTCAAAGCCAAGACACTCAGGAAATTAGTTTCATAGGTCAAGAAATCAGCTCCTACTACCAGCGTAACTGCTATTTTGAATACCATGGGTGCCGTAGATGTTAATACCGGTAATAACCGCCAACGGTTAGCAAGCAGCTGCTGTGTCGCTAGGTTTTCAACATGCAATAATAAATTTCCTTTATTCTCCATCACGCCCTCTGAGCTAGGTCCCTGTTTTACAGATGAATGATCTGCGGTGACTCAGCTAATACGTACGAGACTCAGAGCCACTTAACCGCTGGATATCCAAATGCAAGGCTGCTAGGTTTAGTAATAGAATGTTACTGCGAAATGAGGTGCTGGTACTAAGACCCACTGCTGTTTTTCCAGACAAATCGAATGAGCCCTCTTCAGATTTCCAGCCCTCTTGCTTTGGTAAGAGAGCACCATCTTCAAGCCTGTTTGTTTCTTTTTAATTCTCTCTCCCTATCACTGAATTTCCCTAATCTAAAATTCAGGGTCAGCCATATTCGAGCTGTGTGTGTTCACATATAAGTCTCACCCAGCTCAGTTCTCTGCCCCTCCTCTCATGCGAAGCATAGAAGGTTTTGTTTTAGATTGCAATGACACAGTGAGAAGTAGTCGATCAGATTTTAACCAGAATTGGATATTAAGCCAAACCGATGACTATTTCAAGCTGCTCGCTCTCCTCCCTGTTTCCCTCCAGCCTCTGTTTTCATTCTCGTATGCCTAGACCAAGAGGTGAGCTGCAGAGAGACGTATGGCACTGAGTGATTTTTCAGTCCTTGATTTTCTTCTCTAAGGAACTAAAATGCTCAAGAAGGGGAACAGTTCCTTTCTCTTAAGCTGGAAATTTTCTCTCAGAAAAATGGGGAATGCAAGGGGACGAGACAGGTGTGCTCAGATTCCTCCAAGGGAAGTCATTGCGAAGGATACTAAAATGTTTGTCTCCTTATACATACCCATCCACTCCACCCCACGACCCCACACATCCCTATAAATACACTTCCCACCACAGTGAAAAGAGCTTAATTCATTACTAATGATATAGAGGCAACGGCTTTCGTATAACCCTTCCATCGAGAGTGATCGCGAATCCCGTTACTTGTCATGAATCTTTTCTCCTGTTTGCCTCACATCTGCTACTGGCCGCCTTTATGGACTGAGTTCCCAGCAGCAGATATTTTTAAGAGCTTTCTGTCAAGACATTAGCAGCATCCTCAGCTTTTAGACCAAATCAGTTTCCCGTATTTATATTTCTTCCTCTGCTTCTATTTTGAAATTCCCCCTATTTGTAGTTATGCATATTACGATTGCCTGGCCCTCCTCCAAGCAGAGTGTGAAAAGAAAAGCCATTTCCATGTCCAAGAAGAGCCATTTATGTCCCTTACCTGATGCTTGCGGAGGATTTGGTTGGAGAGCGTAGCCTTCGGAGGCAGAGTGGATGCAAGCTGAGAGAATGGTGTCTTCCCTCCTCTGCTCCGGGCTCTCCTTGATGTCTCTCTTGCCACCGTCTGAGTAATCCCGCTGTCGCCCCCAATGCTCACATTATTCATTTCTTCAGATCAGCATCATTCACCATGGCAACCAGCAGGCATCTGTACTCACGATGCTTTCAGGGACCAGCCTGGAAAGGCTTTTGCCCAGTGAGAGGAGCTCTCGTTTATTTGGGGGGAAAAAAGGCTGACAGTCTGCTGCAGACTGATCCTCAGAGTAGTACTGATTCTTCCAGGGCTCCTAAATTTTCTCTCTAATTGGCTAATTATTGTTATTATTTTTTGCCCCGTCTAGACTCTCTTTGGACAATGGTTTCAAATGTAAAGATGCCTTTCTCAGTTACCCCACAATGAGAACAGTAATTTCATCTCTATCCCCTCCCATCCCACACCCCCACCCCACCTCCTACCCCACCTCTATATTCTCTTCTTTCTTTATCCCTGTCTCCTGTGGCATTACCAGGTATATGATATTGGTCAAGACTCTTTTATTCTCCAGGCCTCGATTCCATCATCATCCGTAAAGCTGTGGGCTTGGGCTAGATCAGGTGGCAGACAGAAGAGATGGGTGCTACCCCTGTCCATTCCTGAACCCACGTTAGGCTTGCTAAACCATCATGGTACTTGTACTAGGATGTTTTGAGTATCCCCCCAAAGTTCAGGTCTACCCAGAACCTCAGAATGTGACCTCATTTGGAAATAGGGTCTTTGTAGAATTAGCTAGTTAAGGATCTCAAAACGATCTTATGCTGGATTTAGAAGGAGCACTCAGTCCAATGGCTGGTACCTTTATAAGAGAAAGAAGAGGGAGCTATACCCACAGAGAGACACAAAGGGAGAAGCCACATGAAGACAGGCAGAGATGGGAGTGATGCCACCATAAATCAAGGAATGCTAGGGGCACCAGGACCTGGGGGATGCAAGAAATGGTTCTCCCTAGAGCTTTCGGAGGGAGTGCGGCCCTGCCAGTACCTTGATTTCAAGCTTCTGGCCTCCGTAATTATGAGAGATTAAATTTCTATTGTTTTAAGCCACCACATTTGTGGTAATTTGTTATAGCAGCCACAGGAAACTAATACAGCACTCCTCGTTGGCCTCAGAAACACAGCCTCAGAGTCCTTCTCAAGACGAGCATCCCAAAAAACTGCTCATCAATCGATCAGTTAGAGTTGACACCAGAAATAGAAACTGTTTACTGTTCCCAGGCTGGATGATCCCCCAAGTTTCTTTTCTTTCAAGAATCCCGACTTTGCTTCCTTGCCCATTTCTCTCTCCCACAAAGGTGTCTGGGCCTCTGAGCTTTCGCCCTTCCTGTTCCCTTTGACCTTAAAAGAATACATTGCCACCATTCTGTTGGGGATGTCACAGGGCATGTTTGAAATAGAGGATGAGGTCCTGTCATCTTAAACCACCAAGTTTGAGGTAATTTATTACAACAGCCCTAGTTCAGATAGATTCAGACCTGAGTTATTTTACACAAAACGTGGTTTTTTTTAAGTCAGCTTTTTTTTCTTCTTGGTTCTTGGCCAAAGTATCCAAGTGAGCCCCTGAAGGCCTCCTTGTGATTCATATTAGCAATAATCGAAGAGTCACGAAGAGTTGCCTGGGGAGTCACAGACCCTGTCTGGCCAAGGGTCTCTGTGAGTCGGGATGTCCGGACCCTTGATTAGATGTGGCTTTCCCGTGGCATTTCGTCTTCCCAGGGCCCGTCTAAAGTCTGCGGTGATGCGAGCTAATGATGACTTCCTGCAGAGCATGAAAGCATCCTCTGCACAGGAAGGCCAGTGTGGTCGTTCGCTGGTGCCTTTTGAAAATGTTATTTCGAGGAAAATAAAAATACTAGAGTTAGGGAGCCTGTGGAGTGATGAGATAGAAGTCAAGCCTTTGCCATGGAAAATGGGAATCTGTTTTTCATGCCCCTGGATGCCATTTTTGACACTGAGCTTTTTATGTGAGAACTTGAGACACTCAGAGAATGTGAGGCCTAGACGTGCTCTGGCTTCACAGATCCTGAGAGAAGGGACGCCATTCCTCAGGCCGGGCCCCTGACTAGCGGCAGAGCCAGGAGTGGAGAGCAGGTCCCTGCCAGGGCTCGTCCCACTGCTCTGGACCATCGCCATCACCAGCAGCACCCAGAAAGATCCAGCGCAGTGATCGGCGAATGCGATCAATCATCCGGGGACACTCGCCTTGGGAGATCACACCCCATCCAAGCTCGCTCTCTCTGTACCTTCCAGGAGGCCCCTCTGCAGTGTGTCCAAGTTGTAGCTGTCAGGCCGGGTGGTGCCTGGCTGGTTTGCACCAGGAGTAAAAGACTGCCAGAGGACATCAGCAAAGGGACAGAGTGAGGGCTCCCCTCAGTCCCAAAGCTGATCGGCACCCAGGGTTCAGAGTGCAGGCCCCGAAAAACCCCAGGCTGGGTTCACATCCTGCCTGTGTGGCCTTGGACAAATTCCCTCACTCTTCTCGATTGGTTAACTCTTCCGTAAAAGGCAGATATCAGTAATACCCGCGCTGTCGCGCCGGGGCAATGAGATGAGGCCATCTCTGCAGGAATAGCAGCTGTGACTATTAAGAAGAAAAGGTCAGTGGGTCAGAACCATTTCCTGAGTTGGTCATAGCCTCGTCCAAAGGCTGTAATGGACAAGGTTTGCACCCATATATGATTCTTCCTTTTTGTAAAACAATGTATAGGCTTATTGTACACAAATGAAAGAATACAGAAAAGCTCAAAGACAGTAGTCAAACCATACAACTCAGAAATCACCATTGAGAACATTTTGGTGCATTTTGCATGTGTTTCCTCATTTTACCCTTGCAACAGCTCTTCAAGGTAGGCTCTCTTATTGCCATTGCACAAAGGTGGGAAGCTGAGGCTCAGAGGGGTTATTAACACAGTGAGGCTGTGGCAGAGCAGCGCCCTAAGCCTAGGTGTGTGGGTCCCCGGAGCCAGAGCTCCAAGCAGGTCCTTCGATGCACTGCCACTCAGCTTCTCCCCTTCTGCAGCCAGCAGTACCGAACACGAGCTCTGCCTCGTGGCTCTCTTCTCCTGAGAGGTCGAGACAGGGCTTCACAGCGTAGTGGGTTCTAGAGTGATGGGAACAGGCAAGGAACTAAAAGACCTCAGAGGGAAGCCAGCCATCTTAATGTAGCTTACCGAAGCAGTGAAAACATCAAACGCATTTGGAGAAATTCTGTCAAGACATGTTTTATCTTCTGGAGTCAGGAGTCTGGAGTCCAGGTACACCTGCCTAAGAGCTCTGTCACGTCAGGTAAGGGGTGATGTGAAATGTAGAAAACCTTTAACAGCTAGTTCAGGAATCAAAATTAGTACAGAAGTCAAAACTTTAAAAATACATTCTCTAAGTAAAGTAAATTACATAGAGTCTATCAGGCAACTGCCTTCCAAGCAATATAGATTGTGGCACAGATCATTCTTTCAGTTGTACCGATAATTTCCCAGTAAATTTTCAGTCTTTAGAAGTTGTTGGTGTGGTCACCACTAGCTAGATGATGAACCCATCTAAGCTGTGATTTGACCTCAGGGAAATTCATTAAACGCCTGCGATACCTTCCCTGTAAGTCATGGTCCTTAGGTGCTTTGCTGTAGCAAGCTGGGTACATCCCAGCCGGGTCCATACCTGGGTGCCAGCTCTTCCCCAGTGGCCTGGCTAGGGGAGTCTGCCTCAGCCCTGCCGGCAACAGCACCAGCAGTGCCACCCACTTCACTGCTGACATCCCTGCCGACATCCCTGTTCTCGTATCTGAAGGGTCCTTCCCCCAGTCTGGAGAATTCTGTTATTTTGGTAGTTGGTACCTACGGCAAGATATCATCTTGTATTTCACCTCAGGCAAGTCACTGTACTTAGATTCCTCCTCCGCCAAATGGGGATGATTGTCCCTGCCTTACCTGGTGCGGTAGGATGATAATGGCCCCCAAAGGTGCTAGGTCCTGATCCTGAAAACTGGAAATGTTACTCAATGTGGAAAAAGGGCTTTGCAGAGGTGACTAAGTGAAGGATCTTAAAATAGGAAGATTGTCCTGGATTATCAGGGTGGGTCCTAAATGCCATCACAAATGTCCTTAATAAGAGGAGGCAGAGGAGGTTACTCACATACAGAGGAAAAGACCAGACTTCAGCAGAGACATTTGAAGATGGGAGGGAGGCAACCGCAACCCAAGAAATGCTGGCTGCCGCCAGAAGCTGAAAGATGCAAGGGACACATTCTCCCCTTGAGCCCCTGGAAGGAGTATGGCCCTGCTGACCTGATCTTGGCCCAGTGATACTGATTTCTTGAGATCTCACAAAATTATCTGTGGCTTCAGAACTATGAGAGAATAAGTTTCCGTTGTTGTAAGCCACCAGGTTTGTGGCCATTTGTTACATCGGCTACAGAAAAGGATTGTCCCTGGGCAGTTATGAAGGAATCATTACATGAAAAAAGTTCATCAGCAGAGAAGCATTATACACTTGTGTATCATCTTTATTATTAGGTTATTTTAAAAGTGATGACATTGGTTTCCTTCAAAACTTCGACATCGCTAAGTACTACAGTGTGGATAGGGTATCTCTGAACAGGAAGTTTTGGTTCCTGTTCTCCCTCTTGCCTTCTCCGAAGGACTTAATTCATAAGACAAGAAAGGAAGAGCATCATTTCTTGAGGGCTCCACAACAGCTGCCTTGAATCTTTCAGCCTCTGAGCTGAGAAGACTAAGAAGAAACCCAGATGATCGAGACCCAGCCCTCTAGCTCGCCAGATGTCACGAAGGGATGGACAGACACATCAGCAGTTTTTTCCACGCCCTAGCAATGGATTTGAACCTGTAACTCAGGAATTATCAGTCCTTTATCCTATCTTACCCTGTGATCTTTCCTGATACTGCTGTTTTATTAGTTCACCTGTGGTTTCAGAGCGTTAAGCTGCAGCTCCCTCTTGGACCTGAATTGGAGAGCCGGATTTGTGTTGGTGGGGCTGATGGTATTCACATTGCTCTGGAAAATTAGAGAAATTGTAACTAAAACAGGAAATTAGAAACAGTTTTAATTCCTCTTGGGATCTCTGAAAACAGCAGTTGTGATTCCAGAAAGCAGAGATGCAAATTGCTTGCAAATTCAGTTTGCCAAATAAATACGTCTCATTGTTTGGAATGGCTGGACTGCGCTGACCATCTGGTAAAAGATAGAGGCCTTATGACTAATAGCCCATACACAACACTTAAAAATGGTTTAAATGGTAGCTTTTATGTTATGTGTATTTTATCACAATTTTTTTAAAAAGTCTATATACAGATAATATTGCAGTGCCCAAGATCTGCCAGATCAAAGTCACCAT